AAACAGCAAATCAACTAAACGATTCTTGTTAGTTATTTATATTCCAATAAAGTGAATAGGAATAATTACGTGGTAATTAAAGCCTTTTAGCTCGATACTCTTTCCCATTCATAATTTTATAAACCAAAGTAGAAGATCATGAGAATATTTGCGTTAAGTGGGTGGGAATCATACTCCCTTTACCTTCAATCTGCATGCATTTATCTAGAAATTCTTGACAGAAGTTACTGACAGGGGCAAGCCTACTCTAAAAACCTTCCCCACACACCCCACCGCGTCAACTACCGTTTTCTTTGCTGAATAAGTAATAAAGTTTAAATATTTAACACTCGTAAATAAATTATGGACAAAATACGTAATCTACCTTAAGCAATTCTTACATTTTTACATTTTCGTATTTTCTAGACAGCCATTTACCACCCCACATAACTTACTTAAAATCAAATAATTGCGCCAGAGAAAATGAAAAATTAAGTTCATTAAAGTTAGCAAAAGGATTAATTAACTTGTAAAATCTTAACTAAAATCCCTTTGTTGGAATGTGAATATCCAAAAACACGAATTTAAAACAATTGAACTCAATACCAAAGTTTTATTTTTAAATTACAAATTTAATCTTCTCAAAACGTTATTGGGCATGTCAGTCACGAAGTAATAAGATTTCCTGAGATGATCGCATATACCCACCTAAAACGTATCTACACAAAAATGAAACTATACAATTTTAATATTATTTAGCATTAATAATGAAACTGTAAAATTTTGAATGAAAATTGGTCATTTGGAGGGTAAATATTAAAACAAACGACTTTAATGAAAGCAAAATGAAACAGAACTGGCCTGAAGATGATGAGCAACGTTAAAACAAACTTTAAAATGTTAATAATTTCGGCGCCGTTTAATTATGACTCAAAAATAATATTCATAGAAAGCAGTACAGTGTGTTTTAGACCAACAGCTCTAACCTAAGTCAAGCTTTAAAGGAAAATAAGGTTAGTAATATGAATGGTCAGGGTTAGGGATAAGGAACAAAATTGACTGTTAGCTTTTCTACAAACATTAACCCTGCCCAACATGTGTCTGGTAACAATTTGAGCAAAAAAGTGAACTCAAAATATCGAATTCTCACATAGACCGTCTAACAACGCAAAATCTCCTTTGGTTGTGATAAAAAAATTAATTGAAGAGTAATTATGTAACCAAATTGTAAAATCAAGCGAAGAAGTGCATGTAATTTCAGATATAAATCCAATATCAGGTTTCTTGATGGCTTGAAGAATATAACAACAAATCGAGTCCAAAAATCAAAGGTTATGATTCGTGTAATTTTCAAACCATGTTTTCAATAATAAAACTGTAAAGCTAAGCACAAGGTGAGGCAAATTATAGAATTAATTAATGACCACCACTTTGACCTCCCAATTTCGTACATAAGCTAAGATTCATTTCGGAGTATAGATTTACTTAAATAACGCAAGAGTTTAAAATAAAGTTCAAAACGCATTTAGTAAGTCTTTGATTAACGCACGGCAAAAGATAAGAACAAAGTGCAAATGTATAATTTCTGCTGGAGTATAAGAAAAGAAGAATAGATACATTGAATGTAAATGGTCAAAGGTAACTGGTGGTGCATTTAAATCCCCCATACCCTTCATCTAGTGCCTCTCAAAATACCCTATCAAAGGCTGTCTGAGTTTTTGATCTTTATGTTGATAGCAAAGAACATTGAACAAACGCAGTTAGGAGTAGTGACAATTTTAGAAAGCTAGTCTATTTATATAGTCTAAAGTAGGCCACCACAACATTCTCTATAAAACCGCAGTGATAATTCGTCTTTTAGAAGACTTTATTAAGGGGTTTTGACAACTCAGCAAAAAACATGGGACTTTTACAATAATCAAAGGTTAATCAAATTAAGGGTGGTAATGGCAAGGAAGGGAAAATAAGATTTATTCATTGAATATTTGCGGATTTTGGCTAAAGAGAAAAATTAAAGTCAATAAGCTGAAAACAAAGCGAGGTGGTTTTAAATCGTTTTGAGCGGTAAAAGATTATAATACGAGTTAAGTTTAAAAAAAATAAAGTAATAGCATATGATATTAAAGCATCAAAAAATTCAAAATGATGTTTCAAATAATATAAAGCCGGTCATAATATTAAAAGGAAAAATCCATCAAGTATTTTAAATTTTTTAAAAGGTACGAAAACATGAATTCTTGTAATACAGAAAAATAACAAATTAGTGAGCATCAAACCATTCAAGCTATAAATTTATCGCTCAGTGAAGAAAATAATAATACTGATGCTTTCATGTCAAACTAGCATGATAAGTGCATATTGACCATAAGTAAATGATAATAAATACTTAACACAAGGTGACAGGCTATCTCCAAAATAAGTTAATAAGCAATACTTACATTAAAATTAGCCCCAGCAGACTTTCGAAATCGACATATGGCCATTTCCGCTAAGGCTCGAACAGGAATACTTCCGTCACCACATGGAACAACAACCTTAGTGTCCGAGAAACTAACTGTGACTTTCATTGTTACTAGATATACAGTTTCCAATCAAAGTAAGTGAGAAGTGCGCAAATCCATCCATTGAAAATAGATAAATTTTCAATCAAATGGGAATAAAATTCAAGGTAATATGAATCCGTTGGTGATTAACTACTTGCTGAAAATTTGCTTTAAATATCCAATTAAATTGCCAAAACCGAAAACTTAATAACAGTTTGAAGGTCAAACTTGTACTAGCCGCGTAATCTGAATGATATGAAGCCCTTCAAATTTGTTTAGAAAAACAACAATAACATTATATTTTTGTTGAAAACAGCAACTTAAAGAGTAAACCCTTAATTAACACATGAAATAATTGTTTGCTTTAGTTTCGCCATATTTTTAAGATGTTTTACAAATAATTTATTTATATCAAATGGCAGACGTTTCGATAGTTATCATTAGCCCTGGAGCTGACTTCGGGGCTTCATTTTGAAAGTTATCATTAGCCCTGGAGCTGACTTCGGGGCTTCACAGCAGAGATAGGAAGGAACATCAAAGTGACAAAAAGTCGAAAGGGGGGACAGAATAATGATTCACAGATGTGACGGAGACAGAGAGATAGGGACAGAATAATGATTAACAGATGTGAAAGAGACAGACCAGAGACAGTGGAGGGATTAATGATTTGCAGATGTTAGAGACAGACACAAACACAATGATTCACAGAGGTAAAAGAGACAGACAGCCATAAAGGCATAAAACAGGTAAGATGAGTACTGTGAAAGGGGTCGAATAAGACAAATAGTCGGGTCATAGTAGTTTGAAGTCAGAAGTCAACTGCCGATCAAAAGACTTTTTTGCCGTATAAGTATACGTTACCCTGGGTGCACCACGTGGAGGTAAGTCTCTTGCGCACCCCTATTTTACAAATAATATCTGCGTGATAACACCTCTATTAAAACTTCATCACAGCTTTTCTTATTATTTACATTTATTATAATTTTTAGTGTTAATTCAAATTCCTGAAAGAGCCGGCAATGTGAGAAAGGATCAAACATGGTGCTTATTGTTAATCGAAGAAAATCATCGCGGCATCGACCCAAAGTCTATTTGTTAAAAGCGTTTCATGCTTTTACACCTCATTTTGATTCTTCAGTTTGTCCGTTTTTTGGGTAACCGAATAGGAATAAAGATGGTTTTACCACAAGGTGACGACCTGCGTGTCATCGAAATGAATTTGACAAATTTTATAAAATTATCCATTTTTAAACTATTGGAAATTTTAATTTATGTAATGATGTTTGTGAAAGCCGATGTCCTTGGAAACATCACACAATTCATTTCAACTTAAATTTTGATGAAGCTGTATTTAATACTCAACCCATCCTATACTTGCCGTTTAATCTAATTCTCATTGTATCTACAACTGATCTCACTTACATGGTTTGTAGATTAGGCGTTATTTTCACAGGTATAGGGAAGACAATTACAGAACAAAAATTAATCATGAAATTTTTTCGTAAGTTCAAAAAATTATCTGTTTCCATGTTAGCTTTATGTTGAAATATTCACTGGAAATTTAGAAACATTGTTACACATAAGTTACACGATTTCGCCATTTCTTCAATAAATTCTTTTATATCACGCAATCCTTCTATATCTTCATATTCATTTTTAATTTATGTTAACGTTTAATTAATTTTTTTGATATTATGATTTTTTAATTTCTCTAATTCCAGAAACGGTTTCTAAAAATGTTGTTACGATTAAAAGAAACCCAGTTTCTAGTATATACATTGTAAAACGCGCCTTTAATCTATTTTAGACTTTGAAGTGTATTTTGCTATGCGCTAATAAGTTGACATTATTTTGTACTATGCATGTAAACACATTAGATAGACTTCCAAATAAATCATTGAAATTAGTATGAAGTTATAAAACGGTGAGTTTAAGCTGCACTCTTGTTATTTTGAAAAAAATACTATATAATAAAAAATATATTAGCGATGAACTTTAATACAAAGTTATACGAACTATTTGGTAATGTTTTGTTAAGGCTTTTCAGTACCTACTCATTGGCGTTGGAGCGCTTATTGTACAAAGTTCGTTTCCAGAGGGCGAGATTTCGTTGAGAATTAGTTTACGAGACCTTTCTAACTTGTCTGTGATTTTAAAGTAAGAAAAGGCTCTATTGCCCAAACAAATCTATTACGGGCAATTTAATATCAGACTAAGTTAGGTTGAATAAGTTGCTATTATGGTCAGTTATATTCCATTCAATTCAGCAGTTCTGAGTGATTAAGGTTGATTTGGGCGCTAAATTCTTATGGTGACCTGGGGATTATTGACATGCGCACGGTCACTTGTTTGATTTCTAGCTTGCTGGTTTTTATGTTGCTTGGAATTCGCATTTCCTAAGCCATGTGCACTGTGAACTGGTACAGTATTTAATGTACTTTATGTGATGTGGAAATTATACTTTATTTCGATTCAGTAATGCGATCGAGCGATTCGAAACGTTCTCCCATGAGTGCCAACATCTTACCGATCGAAACCGCAACCCGACTAACTACGAGTTTGCTTAGAGATAAGCAATTAAACCAGCAACGGCTCAGAACACCAACATCCCGAGGGGGTTCTGTTCTCAATACGGAATTAGCTGTCGAAAGTCGTCCAAAAACAGGAATTCTTGGAATCAAATCGACAAATCCAAAAAGCTCTCTTCAATTTCGCCGACGAATCGAAGACCGCAGCTACTATATTGGTCTGCTTAGAGAACGCATTACTGCAATTACTGTTGAGTTAAAAACTATTATGGCAGAATATTCAGTTGCAGAAGAAGAAGCTAGGAGCTTTGGTCATTATGAAAAGATGGCAGAAAATCTGGCAGCGGAACTCAGAGATCTTCAGGTGATCAAAAGTCTGGAAAATTTACACATATTTGGTTTAATAAGATTGCCCGCATTGTTAAAGCGTTTTACAAAATGAAATTCAAATCTTCTTGTTTATTTATTATTTTTGGAAATGATTTTATCGGTGTTAAAATTAACAAAGGCTTGCTTTAGCGAATATTACTTTATTTTTGCTCGCTAAAGATATGACCGAAAGTTAGTACTCTGTATCCCGTGGTTAAGCTAATCGATTTCCATCTGAGGTTGCGGAATTTAAAAGGAAAATTTCATTGATTTTTTGATTAATTTATAATTATGCCTGGGGCTAGCTTCAATTTATCTTTTAACGTAATTCAAATTTTTGTTCCTCGGTATAGCAGATCTAAATTGTAATTTTAAAAGTTCGTATTCCCTATTTCACTAGGGGGAATTGGGTGATTACAACACTCTTATTGATAAAGCAACTCTTGGCCATGACTTGTCGTCCATTGAACTTGACTGGGAAGACTTGAAAGCTGCTAATGATCGCGCTGAAGTTAGCCTAGAGCACCATTTTGAGAAACGCAAGAAGGCTGAAGATCAGCTAAAGTCTGCCCAAATAGAACTGGAACAGGTAACATCAACCACTCAAAAGAATTGAGTAGCTCTTAGTTATGCGAATTAATACTGTTTATAGGAAAGGCGCATTGCCGAATGCATTATTGAAGACATGGACGATGAACAAAAGGCGAAGTACCTTAAGCTTAGAAATCAAAGTGATTTCTTTCTTCAACAACTTTCAACCGGCCACAGCAAATTAACGGAAATGTTAGAAAGATGCAACGAGTTAGAATTGGAGATTTCGACATCAAGTGTAACTTACTTAATTCCCTTAAGTTAATGTATTTCTCATATTCTAGATTAGACAGGAAGCATTGTGTATTTTTAGAAAATTAAGAGATGTTGAAGCTAAGAGAGACCAATTACAGGCAGAAGAAGATAATAAGGAAGATCCGCAGATCGAAAAGGAACGTTTATTAGCGAAAATAAAGGAAGATAACCGAGAAACAGCAAGCATGGAAAGAGAGTAAAATTGATTTTGGTAAATGCAAATTAATTACTTCTTAGAATTCGCGAACTGAATGAAAGGATCCAAGTTGATGAGTTATTACTCAACCAGCTTTGCACCCAGTTAAGTGACCAATCTGCCAATGAACGAGATCCAACGGTTATGGAGCTGAATCTTCGAAAAGCCCAAATAAACGATTTCTTTTCTGCAAAACATCAAATTGTTAAAGCTCTAGGCCGGTGCTCTCAGTATATTGCTAATATCGAACAAGCGATAGGAAGTAAAACTGTTTCAGAAGCTAACATGGATGCCGTAGAAGATCAGCTGAATGAGCCAAGCAAGTCAGAAAACACTGCAGAAGCTCTTGATACTGAAAAATCTATGCTGTTAAACTATTTAAAGAAGATTGATCAGTTGGAGATTAAAGTAACAGAGGTTAGTTCCTATCTATTCTCTTTCTGGGAGATATTATTTATTTCTCTCACTCACAGTAATTCATTCAGAATTTTCTGTTTCAATTATTAAAAAATTTAAATTAAATGGAATAACTTTTGCGATTGCGATCGCTTGAATGTGTTTTGTTAGACTGAATGAATTCGAGCCAGTTAACTTTCAGTCTTAACTGCGACTTTTCGTATATTTTAAAACTTGTTCTTTGCAAGATAAGCATTTTCCACTTTAAACTTCGAGGTTCCTATTTTCAACATCACATATTCACAAATGATCAAGTCACCTACACAGGTAGCAATATGAGAACATTAAACTTTTGCTAATTTTATTAAACAATTTTTCCATTGGTCACCACCCATCATACATTATCGATTATGTCCATGTTGTCATACTAGCTCAGTTTGATGAGTCGGTGTCGATGCACATGTATCTAATCATTTATTTACTTCAAATGGCAGGCGTTTTGATAGTTGTCATTAGTCCTTTAGTTGAGTTCGGGCTTCACAGAGGGAAGGAACCTCAAAGTAACAAAAAGCCGATGGGTGGGGAATAGAATAGTGGTTTACAGTTGTAAAAGAGACAGACACAGAGGCATAGAAAAAGTAAAATGATTACTGTGGAAGTGGTAGAATATGGCATACAGTGGGGTGATGGTAGCTTGAAGTGAGAAGTTAACTGCCAGTTAATAGACTTTTTTGCTGTATGAGTATACGTTGCCCAAGGCGCACCACGTGGAGGTAGGTCTATCGCACACTCCATGTATCAAATCATGAAAGCAGCCAACAGATTTTCTTCCTTTCAAGTTATTTTCTTTAAATAGGAACTAGAGGCGCTTAAAACAAATGTCATGACAATTGAATCCGACTTGAATAAGTTGAACAATATCGCTTCAAATGACGAAACATCAGAAGAAAGGAAAGCCTCTGTAATGGTTCCATTTCCAATTACCGTTTAGTTGACATTATTGACAATTTGATTATCTCCGTCTTCATTCCAACATTAGTTACTGAAGGAGATTGAAAAACTTAAAGAAACGCGTGCAAATCTGGCTGTTATTACGTCCCAACTAGAGGCCCAAAACACATCCATGGAAGCAAACCTCAATTCCAATGAAACACATATCCAATTGTGCACCTTGGAGAAGAGGCTCACTGCATGCGAAACGAGAAAGCAAGCTCTCTCAAAGGCAATTGAAACAAAGAAATTTGAAAGTGACTATTCTTTCACCGCCATGAAAGCCAAATCACTTTTGGCTGATTATAATCAAGCACTCAAAACTGAGCTCATGGTTAAACCGTTAGCATTATGAAGCGAGTACCGTAGCCTTCTTTTGGGACCACTGAAGTTATCACCCTTAAATCTCAAGCGAAGTCCACACGTGTTCTTGAATGTTTTTCCCAATATTTTGTTAATTGAGTATTGTAATTATTTATTTATTTGTTTATACCAAATAGCAGTCGTTGTGAGAGTTATCATTAGCCATTTAGCTGACTTTGGGCTTCACAGAGAGGAAGAGGAGGAACATCAAGGTGACAAAAAATTCGAGGGGGGGGGGGTCAGAATAATGATTCAAAGATGTAAAAGAGACAGGCACAAAGGTAGAAAAAAAGTGAGATGAGAACTGTGAAAGTAGTCGAATATGACATACAGTGGGATAATAGTAGTTTGAAGCGAGAAGTCACCTGCCGGTTAATAGACCTTTGCCGTATGAGAATACGTTGCTCAGGGTGACAACCACGTGGCGGTAAATCTATCGCACACCTCAGTAATGTAATTATGTTTTCGTTATCGGTCATACAGCCAAAGTTATTCTGAGATCGACATAACATGCGTAGTATTATTATTACTAATAATAATATAGAAATTATCTTAGTACGCTGGCAAGGTTTGGCTGTTAGTGCCACTAAGCCAAACCGATCAGGCCTGGATGGCGGAATGGCTGGCGAAATCCCTGTTAATAAAAAGGGAATAAGATTTGGGGTACGCGATAGACTTACCTCCACGTGGTGCACCCTGGACAACGTATCTTCGTACGGCAAAAAAGTCTATCACTCGGCATTCGATTTTGACTTCGATTTATTATGATTAGCTTGAAAAAAAGGCTATAAGAAAAATCGCCCTCGTCATGGCGAATCACAACGTCTTCAGATCCTCCAGTGGAATGCTGGAGGAATGTCACCGGACAAAAAGATCCAAGTACAGAAAATCCTACAAACCTATGATGTAGACATTTTCACAATTATGGAAGCAAACATTTCGGATGACAAACTGAAGTACTACCAATTCCCAGGTTGCACCCTGTACCTTCTACCTAAATATCGGCAAGTTGCAAGTGGAATTCTAACTAGAGTTAAAGAAGGCCTCACCTCACACTACGATCTAATCAAGAGTATGGGCTCGACACAAGACAAATGTGAAATAATCAGATTAAATGTTTGGAAATGTCAAAACCACTTCAAGATATATGCAGTCTATAATCCACCCCAGAATTGTCCAAACTTTGACTTTCTGAATATCTCACACAAAACTATAGTATTAGGAGACTTCAACGCCCTTTCCACCAGATGGGGCTACAAGGACACAAACATAGCTGGAAAGNATGCTCACGTCTAAAATTGAATAGTTAAGCGAGAATATTTGTTTTGACACGATCACATGATTGGAACCTGAAATACGTAAAGAAAATAATAATTGCTGATACTCTTATAACCAGCAGTTGGCTTTTTTATCCTTGTTCCAATTGGATAATTTGCATTCGAGATGAGGGGTGCGCGATAGACTTACCTCCACGTGGTGCACC